GTCTGCAGTGCATCCCATCCCATATGGGTGCTGGTTAGAGTCCCAGCTGCTTCACTTCCAGTGCAGCTCTCTGCTATGCCCTGGGAAAGCAGTAGAAGATGGCCCAAGTGCTGGGGCCTGTACACACGCATCAGAGATCCAGAAGAAGCTCCAGGTTCCTGACTTCAGATCGGTGCAGCTCCAGACATTGCGGCCATTTGGGGAGTGAACCAGAGGATGGAAGACCTCTCTCTCTGCCTCTCTGTAACTCTGCCTTTCAAACACATTAATTAATTAATTAATTAATTAAAAAAGTGAAGGTAAGCATAACCCCACACACACAAAAATACAAATGGAAACCAAAAAGCTAGCAAAAGTAGCTTTAAACAAATAAAATAAATAAATAAATAATCTTAACAAAGAAATTTATTCTAATTCAATGCATTCTATTTAATACAGCTATTTGAACAGCTGAGAATATGACAACATCACTAAAAGTCCGACTTGTTGAGCTTCCCATGGACATAATAATACGTACTTCATCCTTGATGTTATTATCTTGTCAGGAAGCCCATGTTATATATCAATATTTCTGCTTTCAAGAAAAATAATATGGTGGCTGGTATTGTGGTGCAGCAGGTCAAATTACCATTGGACTATTGGAGTGCCAGTTCCAGTCCTGGCTCCTTCATGTTTGATTCAGATTCTTGCTAATACATCTGATAAAGCAGTGGAAGATATCACAAGTACTTGGGTCCCTGCCATTCATGTGGGACTAGGATGGAACCCCTGGCTCCTGGCTTTGCCTGACCCAGCCCTGGCTATTGTAGCCATTTGGGGAATGAAACAACAGATGGAGGATCTCTCTTTCTTCATCTCCGTCTTTGTCCCTGTCACTCTGCCTTTTAAATAAATAAATAAATCTTAAAAATGAAAAATAGTATGTATTTATAGGTATATACTATTTACATAAGAAGAGGATATGGAAATATAAAAAAATTGTTGAATCTAATACATGTATATTTAAAATAAATGGTACACCAGACCTAAGGCTAAATGGATATTGTATAAACAGCCTTTATTGCTTGCAAAATTACTAACAGAAAAATGATGTAATCCTAACAACTGACTATTTTTCTTGTTATAAACTTTTTATAAGCACCAAAAATATCTACCAACTACTCCTAACATAATGCAATGTGCAAAATTTTAGAGATTTCTTTCATAAAAGTGAATTCAACTAAGTTTTAAAATATTTATTTTTTAAATATTCATGATATATTTAATAAATGAAGATTTATTTATTTATTTGAAAGGCAGAGTTACTGAGAAGCAGACAGAGAGAGAGAGAGAGAGAGAGAGAGAAATCCTCCCTAAATGTGCGTCACTAAATGGACACACAGTCTGAGCTGGGCTACCCGAAGCCAGGAGCCAGGAGCTTCTTCCAGGTCTCCCACATGGGTGCAGGGGCCCAAAGACTTGGGTCTTCTTCCACTGTTTTCCCAGGCCATAGCAGAGAGCTGGATCGGGAGTGGAGCAGCTTTGACTTGAACCAGCACCCATATGGGATGCTGGTGCTGTAGGTGGCTTCTTTTCCAGCTATGCCACAGTGCCGGCCCCTAAAAATATTTTGTTAAAAGTAAAAAGCAGAAGAATATTTTCTTGGGTACTATATAGCTAAATATTATTTATATTTAAATTTCTAAATTATGTCTGTTTTCAGTTTATTGTTATTCCCCCCACCATGCATGATTTTTAAAAATCTAATACTATCTTCTGGCATATTTATTCATCATTTGAGAATAAGGAAATTTATAATAATATTTAAAGTATTATAATAGTAATAAATGCAAGCAATTTTATTGCATTCTAAAAGTGTTTTAAAACTCCAAACAACAGTGTTGGAAATTTCACTTATCAAAAATATTCCAAGAATCTCATCTTTCAGAAGGTGATAAATTCAAGTTTTCTATTTTAAAAATCAAAATAATATTCCAGCAGAACTTTACAAATTAGTAGAAAAGCTGAGCAACTGAGAATTAAGAACCAAATGAAATCTACCCAGTGACACTGCTGCTTTCCTAAGCATGTAATTCTTTTTTTAATTAATAGAGTTAAAACCTCATGAGATGTCCTTCTTATACAATTATGCCTTCAGCTCCTGCCTATGATTAGATGCACGAGTAGAAACTACAGCTATTGTATTGTGGGAAATTCAATATTCTGTCAATCTTGCAATAATTTGGGGGCATACACTTTGTGCCAGGCACTGTTCTACGTACTAGAGAAATAAAAATTAATGGGAATGGCTCCTTCCCCTAATAAGCTCATAGTCTGATGTTAGGATGAGAGACAGATTGAGATAGTTACTGTATTTTTAATGTCATCTTCATTCAATGACTCTTCTTTAGAATTCTCAGAATAGTAATAAAAAAGAATCAACCATAGGAAGCATAAGTAAAGTAAAGTAAAGGATAATTTTTCTTTTTGTTTTTTTTTTTTTTTTCAATTTACTCCATTTGGAATTTTTTGGAAACTGCCATTATCAAACCTGAGAAAGCAAGAGCAGATTATTTTAACAGAATTTTTATCAATTCTTGCCTTCCTGCCTGCAACTATTGTTCTTTAGAATTTTATCTTGAAACCGAATTATCTGCTCTTTAGAGCTGCTGAAGGGAGAAATTCGCTTCCTATATTTGAGCTCTAAGAAAGCAGGGGCCATGTCTGTTTTGTCTCTGATTGAATCAACAGCATAGTGTCAAGTTAGGTACTTACTTAAATGATGAATGATTGGTTGGTTTTCAAGACACAATATCTGATGTGGTTAGAGATTCTTCTTTTCTATTTTAAACTTTGTTTTCTAAATTAATTTATAATTATTTGTCATAAAAGTGGGGGCTGTTTAAATGCTACTATCTTCCTGGGGTTGTTTGTATAAAGCATGGATCCCTGCAATAAACTAGAGAACAAAGGTCAGCATTTCGGCAAATCATGTTATAAATACCACTTATCCCAGGGGTATCCATGGTACATATGGCACTTGGGACACTCACATCCCGTGTCAGAATTGCTGGGTTCAAATCCTAGCTCCATTTCCGATTTCAACTCCCTGCTGATGTGCACTCTGGGAGGCAGAGTACTTGGATTCCAGTTACCCACGTGGGAGACCTGGATTGAGTTCTGGGCCCCTGACCCATCCCTGGGCGTTGTAGGCATTTGGGGAGTGTAGCAGCCAATGGAAGATTTCTCTCTTGGTCTCTTCCTCTCTCTGTCAATCTGCATGTCAAATGATTAAGTAAATTTTTAAAAGTTGTTATTTGAGAACAGTAGGCTAACTGTAATCTGTGATGAAAGACAATGGAAGGGCTAATTGCTATGATTTGCTTATTTTGCAAATTCATGTGAAATATTGAACTATACCTCATAAAATATATGGTGTTTCATATTAATTTAAAATTTCATACAATAATTTTTAAAATGTTTGTGTTTTGCTTCTTTATGCAATTTTAAATCCCTATGCCAGATCATTTAGAATCTCTTTCTCCCTCCCTCCTCTCTTCCTCTCACTTTCACTCTCTCTTTAACTCCCACCCCACGTTCCTCCTTCCCATCATCCCCTCTCCTTCTTCCACCTTTCCTTCAAAAGACATCCCTCCTACTTCATCTAGCTCCCTATTGCTTAATTATCTTATTACTAATTTTGTTATTTGATGTTTACAGGACTGGGTTTAGGGACAACTGGTGTTTGAGATTAATTGACTTCCTTCTTTATAATGAACTTGCCCATTTAGCCCTTCTCATTTGGCTTACAATGCATTAGAACACTAAGTTCTGTATTTTCTTTCCAGAACTAAGTTATATCTTCACTTTGTCAGCAAAAAGATATAGACATACTGTTGCTTTAAGTACTCGTATTTCCACTGTTATTCATAAATCTGCTTATCTCGTCAGTGAGTTCCATCTTCACAGAGCTTCATGGCTTCCTTGCTGTATCTATTGTTTTTCTCAAGGTTGACTGACGTATTAATGATCTTTGTTGTCAAGTCTGGGTTGTGACTAAGTCTTTGGAGGAAGCTGGTTGAGCAAACATTTTACCACCTAATTGCAAATGCTTTGGCAGTTAAGCATTCATATACAAAGAGAATATATTTCAGTCATAGATTATTGAATGATTAACCATTAATGATTTTTCTATGTAGACATCCATAAAGTATTTCTTAAATTTTACTTGGTCTTAAATTGTTAATAGAAACCATGTAATCTGTCTTCACTTTCTACTTGCAAATTAGATCTCAGCACTTATTTTCAGTTTCTCATCACTTTTATGCATTTAATTTTCTCTAAAATAGATCTTGAAATTTTGTCTCATTTTAGATGAAGTCTTATATCGTTCTTCAGTAACCTTGTTGCAGTCTTTTTGGACTTTACATTTTCTGTTTACTAATATATAGCATTACTATTATTATCTGAATTAATTAAATAACTAATACTTCTGGCGATGCAACTTGAGCAGGCCAGAGCAAACTGAATGCATACTTTCTCAATTACAAGTGGAATTCAAATAATTTTAACATAGATCTGGTTTGTCCATTTTCATTAAATGTTTTTATTAATTCATTTATTCCATCAGAAAGATAGAATTCAGAAGTGAGTAGTGCACTTTGTTTTTAATGCAGTCATTTTTATTTTATTCATGGATATGCTTTTTATTTATTCATTAGCACCTTTTGTTTCTATAGTCATCATAATCAAGAAAAAAATAATCAAAAATAAAGCAGTCCTTTCAACTGCTCACAAGGGACAAAGAACAGCATCAAAGAACACGGTCCTAGGAATAGTTCTTGCTTAAGTAAAGGTTGTCACTGCAAGTGAGATCTGAGAATTCACAAGCTAGAAAAGTATGCATCATTTTTCCAATATCAGTTGTCCCATTAAAGAAGCAATTGTCAGCTGTGGCAAGTGGCTTATTTTTCTGTCATAATCATCTGATATTTTAGCTTGTCCACCCATTTTGTTTACAGATAAATTTTCCTCTAAAGAAGAGAAGAGAATGGGAGTAAGATAGGTGAAATTTACCATTTTATATTTTATCTAAGAAGCACACATGTGAAGCCTGTAGCCTGGTAGAAACAAAAAGAGTATGAGTAAGACATCTAGAACAATCATTTCCCATCCAGACAAAATGCTTTTTTGGAGAAAAATATTATTATTATTATTATTATTATTATTGCTAGTAATACCTTTACAAGGACAATAAGCTTAATTTGTGATTCTTCTGGGAAAACCAGGGCCATAGTTGCCTAGAGATAAAAGAATATAAAAATCAACATGTAAGTATGAAGTTCATCTCAAAACCAATATTTGCATTATAAGTTAAAATGAATGTAGCATATCAGCATCAAGGAAAGATGAAGATGCATGGATCTGTAATAAAAATACCGTAGCTACAAATGTTCAATTAAAAAGGCAGTCTTGATTACTAAATATGCACTTCACCGTCTTGGAACTAAAAGCATAGAGGCTAGGCCAGAAAATGATTACCACAAGCTTGTGGCATCTATTTATGTGTTTATTAATATTTTAAAACTTTTATATTTTTATATTCTACCCAATGAGAAGTGATCAAGAATAGTACTATTCTATACTCACGCCCAACATTCTCTCTTGTTGTATGGTCAGCAATCCAGCAGAGGGAGCACACATTAGTAAATGATGAGTTACTATGTGGACTAAATCTTTATGGGTATCTATAAAATACTGGTATATAGTAAGAGAGCTATCTTCTGAATTAAACTTTAGCATATACTTCACAAAGAAATTACTGTGGAGATTCGTTCCTTTCTAACACAAATTGTGTATCCTCCTTTCAGTAAAATCTCTCTTTCTTGTTTGTATATCATTGAATGTAGTTTCCAATTTCATATTAGAAAATTCTCTAAGAAGTCTCAGAGAGAAAGAAAAAAAGTAGTTTTATGTGCTCTTCTTCTTAGACAATGTTGGTAATATTTTTCTGGAATTGTTTCAATTTAAAAGCTTTTAAAATTAATTACTTTATTTGAAAGGCATAGTGACAAGAGTAAAGGGAAAAACAGAAAAGAGAGAGATATTCTATCCACTGGTTCACTCCCACAAATACCTGCTATAGCCAACGTTAGGCATGGCTAAACCCAGGAGTCCAGAACACCATCCAGGTCCCCCATGTTGGTGGCAGGGACCCAAGTACTTGGGTCATCATTAGTTGCCTCCCAGGTACATCAGCAGGAGCCTGGATCTGAAGCAGAGTAGCCAGACTCTAACCAGCCACTTCAGTATGAGATGTGGCCTTCTCAAGTAGCTTAACTGGCTGTGCCACAATGCCTGCCCCACTATTTTAGGACCCATTTTCTTTATGAAGTACTTTATCTTCCGAACCTTTCTTTACAATGGTTAACTAATGTACTAACTATTAAAGATTCTAGATGTTAATATTGCAGAAGGATGGGAAAGAACACAAATGTTTATTCTGCAGGGATCATATTTGGTTCTATGGATTTGGATACATATTTGTACTGCAAAAGAGTCTCACGGAAGATCAGGTCAAACTAATAGTAGAAACAGTTTATTGTTGATTTCCATCTTGAGAAAGCCAAATGAGCACAGTACAAGGTATTTTTTTTTTGTAAACATGAAACAACATTACTCTTCAGTTTACTAATGCAAACACACAAAGGAGTCATCAAGAGACAAATATGTTTACTTAATGGGTCTTTTGTTTTTTATATTAAAAAAATTTTTATTTTCATAACTTCTCTAGAAGCTACAAAATCAGAAAATATGAAGTATAAAATTATACATGTTCAAAGATACTACTATTCGTCTTCAAATCTACTACTATTATTTTAATGTGCAAGCTTTTATTCTTGTTCTATCCACATGCATACATTTTTCACAAAAAAGTATCATACTGTACAGATTTTTTATAGTATGGTTCTAATATGGCAATATAATTTAATCATTCTTTTATGTTATATGTTATTAATAGATATAAAATGTGTGTTAAAATGTCATTACAAATTAATATATTTTCATACTTATTCATAGGTCTTATATTGATACATATTTAGATTATTTTCAGTTTTGTATTTTACAGATTATGTAATGAATGTAGTGAATATTCTTGCATATGTCTTTTCTTATATGTCCTATTATTTGCTTAGGAAGAAAGCAGAAACTTTGGGTTAAAGATGTGACAATTTTATATTTGATCCAAATAAAGATGTGAAAATTTTATATTTGATCCAAATCAACAAACATTCTCCAAAAAGCATTATCAGTTCACAAAAACTGTTTATGCAAGTGCTTCTGTCATTAATTCCTCACTGTAATGGGTACTTTTTAATCTTTTTAATATAATCATACTTTATTTTATTCCTTTGATGTATTTACTTTGTCCCACTGAACTAGTAGTTCGATTATGATCTGCATAGTGGGGCTGGCACTGTGGCACAGTGGGTTAAAGCCTTGGCCTGAAGCATTGGCAATCCATATGGGGGCGCCAGTTCTAGTCCCAGCTGCTCCTCTTCCAGTCCAGCTCTCTGCTGTGGTCTGGGAAAGCAGTGGAAGATGGTCCAAGTCCATGGATCACCCACGTGAGAGACCCAGAAGAAGCTCCTGGGTCCTGGCTTCAGATCAGCGCAGCTCCAGCCATTGAGACCATCTGGGCAGTGAACCAGCGGATGGAAGACCTCACTTTCTGTCTCTACCTCTCTCTGTAACTCTGTCTTTCAAATAAAAATAAAATAAATCTTAAAAAAATGATCTGCATGGTAAGTTCCTTTTTATTACTCAACTTTCTAAAGTTTTCTTGATCATTCAAATGGAATATTTTAATTCAATTTAGTTCAATATAGTACAATGTACAGATCTTAAGTACATAGTTCAAAGAGTTTTAACAAATGTATACACTTGAGTAAGCAACACTCCAATCAAAATATAGACAAAAAATTCCCACAAGAATAGTTCTGGTCCATCTGTCTACAAATAAGCAACACTTTTCTGATTTCCATCATTATAGATCAATTCACCAATTTTGGGGCTTTGTATAAGTGGAATCATACAATATATACTTTTGTGTCTATAATTTTTCATTTAAACTAATGTTTTTGAGATTTGCTTATACTGTTGTGGCAATCACTAGTTCATCTGCTTTTATTGCTGAATGGCAATCCGTAGTTTAAACATTTGGGTTGTTTTCAGTTTGGGGCTACTGTGAATAAAGCTGCCATAAACATTCTTGCATATTTTCTTGACAATTTATTTTTATTCCTCTTGGGTAAAAACACATATGTGGAACTTCTGAATCACAGAATAAGTGTATGATTAATCTTACTGGAAACTGACAATTGTCCAAAGTGATCGAATCATTTTACATTCCCTCCAGCAATATATGAGAATCCTAATACCGCATATCCTCACCAACACTTGGTGATGACTTTTGAATTTTAGCCATTCACACATGTATGTAGTAGTATTATGGTATAACTGTATATTTTGTTAGCCATAATTATGTTGAGTACTTGCAGGTACTTATTGGCTATCTCTATCTCTTCTTTGGTGAAGTATCTATTTTTTGCTGATTTTTATTGTATCATTTTCTGTTTATCATTGATATATAGAAATTTTTATATATTTATCATAAAATTAATTTGCAAAATGTATGTATCTGAATTTTGTTTATTTACCTTTCATTTATTTGAAAGTCAGAGAAACAAAGGAAGAGGCGGAGACACATAGAGGGATCCTTTGTCCAATGATTCAGTTTCCAAATCAGCAATCCAGAACTCCATCCAGGTCTCCACCATGGGTGGCAGTTACCCTAGTCCTTGAGGTATCATCTGCTGCTTTCCAGGGTGCTGCAAGCTGGAAGAGAGAGTGGAGCTGGGACTTGAACCCAGACATTCTGATAGGAAATGTGAGCATCAGAAGTGGTGTCTGAAACACTGCACCAAATGACCACTCCTAAAAATATATATTTAAATTACTTCTTCATGGGCCAGCACTGTGGCACAGAGGGTTAACACCCTGGCCTGAAGCGCTGGCATCCCGTATGGGTGCCAGTTCTAGTCCCAGCAGCTCCTTTTCCAATCCAGCTCTCTGGTATGGCCTGGGAAAGCAGTAGAAGATGGCCCAAGTCCTTGGGCCCCCACACCCACGTGGGAGACTGGGAGGAAGCTCCTGGCTCCTGGCTTCAGATCAGCTCAGCTCCGGCTGTTGCAGCCATCTGGGGAGTGAACCAGCAGATGGAAGACCTCTCTCTGTAACTCTTTCAAATAAATAAAATAAATCTTCAAAAAATAAATAAAATAGATCTTAAAAAAATAAATTACTTCTTCCAACCTGTGCTGTTTTAAGAAACTATGACTAGCAGACATTTCAAAATTTTGCATCTAATTGATCCTTTCTTTCCTTTTGTGGATTTATGAATTGTATTAACCATTTAAAATAATCCATTTTTTTGACTGGCAGAGTTAGACAGCGAGAGAGACAGAGAGAAAGGTCTTCCTTTTCCTTTAGTTCACTCCCCAAATGGCTGCTACAGCCTGTGCGCTGCGCCGATCCAAAGCCAGGAACCAGGTGCTTCCTCTTGGTCTCCCATGCAGGTGCAGGGCCCAAGCACTTGGGCCCTCCTCCACTGCCTTCCCAGGCCAGCAGAGAGCTGGACTGGAAGAAGCGCAACGGGGACAGAATCTGGCGCCCCAACCGGGACTAGAACCAGAGGTGCCGGCACCTGAGGCAGAGGATTAGCCAAGTGAGCCGCGGCACTGGCCAAAATAATCCATTTAACTTCATTAATTTTCCAATTAATCCAATTTACTCATTATTTAATACAATTAGCTTCATTAATTTTCTTTTTTAAAAAACAGTATTTATTTGAGAGCTAGGCTTACAGAGAGAGGAAGGGGGGGGGGTCTTCCATCCTCTGGTTCACTCACCAAATGGCTGCAATGGCTGAGACTAGGCCCATATGAAGCCAAGAATCAGGAACTTCTGGGTTTGCCATGCGGGTGCAGGGGTCCAAGCACTTGGGCCGTTTTCTGCTTTTCTAGACCATAAGTAGACAGCTGGATTTGGAAGAGGAGCAGCCAGGAGATG